ACCTTAAAAACTCGAGGAGCGACAAATGACCCACGGTAACTAGAAGAAAATCATCGAAAACACGAGGAAAATTTGGAGGAAATCAGGAATGATCTACAAAGATCCCAATAAAATCGTATGAAACACACTAAAAAATTCGAGGAAAGAAAGAAAACCTTAAGCATTCGGGTCGGCTAGGATTAGATTTAGGTATTCTCGAGGGGCTCCGAATGCAGCTATCGGTCACCTGTATGTATAAAGTCCTCCGACATTCAACTAGAAGGGTTTCCTACAATGTCAACTTAGGAGGGTGCTTCTTAGCCCAGTACCGGTAATTGACAAGTGGACAATCGACGAATCATATTACTTAAATACTTAAAATTTATATTTTGGCATGCATATAGATTTCATGCATATAAGAGAAAGTAATATCAATTTTTGTAGTCAAAATATATTTATAATTACATCGTACATGTTCTTATCATTTTTACAAAATATAATTGTCCACAAGTCGATTGTACCGTCAGGCTAGGACCGCCAACAACCTAAGAAGATAAGGGTGCCCTGCTAGTCTGGTGTCGGTAAACAATATTGTCATCCTACTATATTTCATCGGGTCTCTAGGTCGGGTCCCGATGTCGTAGGATGGAACATTTTTCCGCTCTATTATCGAATGTCATTATCACCAAGGCCTAAAACCCCAAAAAAAGACCATCCAACTTACGACATTGCTTGATGGTTCATATATAGCCACAATTATATATGCGCGTTTATGTTTCAAACCTAAGCAGCTAAAACCAAACCAATAAGCAAGGAAAAAAGAAGAAAAATGGGGTGAGAGAGAGGAAGTCAAGGTTCATCTGAAATGACGAAGAGGTGAAAGACGTCTCGGCCCTTAAAACTGCATCTAAAACCATCGACGAAAAGACCTAAAAAATGTAACCCGACAATCCAAGAATCAACCAGGGTATCATTTCCTCCAATTCAGTAAACGAAGCAACCCAAAATATATCCTTTTCAAACAATATCTCAAACAAATTGAAACAGGAAGGGGATCAAACCAATGCGACGACTATGTACATAGCCCACAATTCTTATGTATTTATACACCCAAACTTAAAGCTCAAATGTTGCATTCACACCATCCAAACCTTTCATAATACATCAAAAAATGCTACCATTTTATGAAGTGTATCCTCTCATGCATAGGTTAGGTGACAAAATAAAATTTGGAAGTTTAGGTGTTAGATATGTAAATGTATAAGAATTTCGTGATATGTTCGTGATATGTATGCAAATGTGATATGTATGCAAATACCCTAAAGGGTTAACTCTTACTCAAAGCATCAAGAAATCTGGAATGAATGGTGCAGGTGGGGGGAATGCTTGAGTAGGTTCTGTAGTCATGAGAAAAACGAGCAAATTTCAGAGAAGAGTAGACCAAAGTTGTTGGAGATGTATCCAAGAGATTGCAACAGTACAAAGGACTTTAGCAATGCAGGCGACGTAAATTTGTGTAGAGTAGAAAAGACTTCCGCAACATATGAATAAATTTGCAATGTATTGATGTCGTAAATTGCTAGAAGATGCTCAAATTCTTAAGGCTAAGACAAAGAATGAATTGTAGGAGAACCAGCAAATCCTTCTTCAGTCCACTCAATCTTCCCTCAGCTTCACATGAATCAACTTCAGCCGTTAAAGTCATTATCAGGAGAACTAGCAAAGTCCCAATGAATTTATTCCAGGTTATACGAGAAATCAAAATTAAATGCACACTCAGTTGTGGAAAAGTCCTCCCTAAGCCCAGGAAAATGGATGCAAGTATAGCCGTATAAAAGAGAAAAAATTCTCAAAATTTCTTTGCACTGGAAGGAATTCCAGTCACTTCCTACAGTATCAATGTGAACAGATGCATCCCAAATTGGAACATGAATTCTATAAAAGCTCTTATAAAAGCTGCCGATAACATATATATATATATAATCCATTGTATTAACCTGCTTTAGAGAACCCATCTTTCTGCCTCCTATTTCATTAAGCCTTCACCATGGTATCTTGAAGAATTACATTTAACATGCCATTCAGATCTCACGCACAGCCATTAGAGAACAGTGACAAATTTACATGCATACCACTCGATTCTTATGTATTTACATATCTAATACCTAAACTTCAATTTTTGCATGTATCCCCCTTTACCTATACATTTGAAAAAACATTGCAGACACGATTAAATAACAAATATATATGTATATGCCAAGCAAGGAAAGTAGGACAACCGAGCAAGAGTGTCCAGCAAACCAGCAAAAATACCAAGCAACCGATCAATGCATATTATCCCTAGAAGTGCTGAAGTTACAAAGCCATTCCTCAGCTTTCCTTCCTTTTATTTTTTTTTAGGCCAACTTTTTTAAATGAACTCAACATGAGATAGGTCTAGAGAAAACAAGAAATAGGGGAGAAAAGAAAAGAATGGAAAGAGATTACCTTATCTAAGTTTTACCCACAGAGCTCTAGAAGATTTCAAGCACACACACAATATGAAACAAGCAGGAGGAATCACCAGCCAAAGATCCAACAACCTCGTTTGAGCCTTTACAAACAACAAAAGAAGGCCAAAGAACTCTCAAACATCAAGTTCACAAGCACCTAACTGAGAAGAAATTTCGGCAGTCTTCCCCAACCTCCAAATTTCGTAACCTCACAACCCTTCCCCAAGAGTGGTTTTTATAGCAGAGGAAGGGAGCAGAGGAAATACCATAACTTACCGGAGGTGAGGCAACACGACAGAAAGACAGGAGAGAATGGAGACAAAAAGAAGAGGCATAAGGCATCGGGAAGAAGAGGTTTTGCCAATAGAGTACTTCGAAGAGGCAGGCTCCATGGGTCAAAATTACACAAGCAGGAAATTAGAAGATTGCAAGGGCTTGCCATCGTGAGGGATGAAGCCAGTGAAGCGTCGGGAAGAACGACTCTCGGGCAGAGGGTGTCGAGGAGGAGAAATAGGTCAACCTTCGTCACGTGAAGAGGAAGGTTAGAGAGGAAGGCACGGGAGAGGGAGTGAGGAGCGATTAGGGCTCGATGGACGGGCTCCTCTCGGGCCGAATGGAGAAGGCTCGACCGAATGGGAAGGTAGTGTGCGTGAGTGTGAATTAGAGATTTAGGAAAGCCCTTTATATATATATATATATATATATAGATATATATATATATATATATATATATATATTAATTTTATATATTATTTGATACTTAAACCCCCCAATTTGCATACTTTTCACTCGTGCACGAAACCGTATCTAAATGGGTGTCCTCTCTAGCTAAATTCGACGTCCCGGACGCACCGACACGCTCCATTTCGTCATCTGGGGTCTCTCGGACGACTTCGTCGATAGTCGGTTCGAAAATGCGTCAAATTCAAATTTCTTTAAATTCTCGCTCGTGATCAATCATTCCAGCAATTGATTCGAGTTTGATCAATCGCGAAGCCTTCTATAGGTGCAGGTGACATGAATTTCGATAATTGTGTGCATGGAACACGTGAATTGTGGTATTCGTGCATCGAACACGCACAGAGGTCACAATGGGTTTCTTATGGTTTCGGCTCCTATAGGTACTCGACACGAGGTTCGTCATGCTGGTTTTAATCTACTCAACTAAACGTTGATGATTTAGAACCGGCGATATGAAACTGCGAGGAGTCAAGAAGTGGCTCGAATTTCTGATTGACATTGGTTCTAGTGCTAGTCCTCTAGGATAGTAGATAGGAAACCCTAAGACTAGATCCTGGGCTCTAAGAAGAGTAAGAGACCTAACCGAAAATGAGGTTAACGTCTGATGCACAATCTAAACTCTTCATCGAAAGATGTTAAGTTCAACTGATGATAATAAAAAGTTCTTTTTGTTAAATATAATTTTATTATTTCTAATATTAATTCCAACAGCTCTTTTTTATCTACTTCATTAATTTCAAAAAAGAAACATTAGATTTGGAATCATAAATAAGTTTGAGAACGTAATATTACATTTGTCGTAGTTGATCATTTCTAAAGGTCGGCATTTTTTTGTCATCTTCAAAAACTAATAATGCTTCTCACATTGTCAGATTTTTCCTTCAAAGAATTATACATTTGCATGGTATAATTTCATCAATTGTGTCTAACCGTGATGCTTGATTTTAAGATTGCCTCACACAGTTTGAGAACATGATATTATATCTGTGGTGATTGATCATTTCTAAAAAACAGTTTTGTCATGTTCAAAGGCTAACAATGCTTCTCACATTATTAGATTTTTCCTTGAAAGAATTATAGATTTGCATTGTCTATTTTTATTAATTGTCTGACCGGGATGCTTGATTTGTTTTATATTTTTGAAAGACTAAAGAAATTAGCATGAACTAAATTAAAATTTTTGTATCTTTCATCCTCAAACTAATGGTTAAATTGCGGTTTTTTAATTAATCTCTAAGAAATCTACTGAGATGTCTTGTAAGAAAAAAACTATAAAATTGGAACATATATTTTCCTACTTCTAAATTTGCTTATAATAAATAAAAGTTTAATTACGAGAGCGCAAACAAGAGCTTAATATGGGTCGAATCGAAGCTTGTCATGGGAGCTCAGTAAAAAAAATAATAAATTTTAGATGTTATTATTTAAAGTTCAAAATTATGTCTTAATAACTTTGGGTTTTTAAATTTGAAGACACCTATTGGTTGGTTAACAATATCTTCAATCTTGTTGTGGCTTATTTAGTTGGATTCATGCTAAAGCCAAAACGTGTTAGTTTGGCCCAATGTGTTTTAAGAGCCTTTTAGATCACTCAACAATTGGAAGAGTGGACTTATTATAACCTTTTAGATCATTCAAAGCATTATAGGAGTTGAATAATAACCTTTTAAAGTTATTCCTTGAAAAAACTCTCTAGTCAGTTTCCAACCATTGGCAGCACTCCATTCTAGAATATTCCTGAATGTTCTAGAAACCAGTACCCATATTCTTGAAATATATTCCATACAGGGTGGGACCAAGGGCTGCTTGGAATGTGCATTGGCGAGAAAAGGAAGCTGAAGATCCCTGCAAAGCTTGGCTATGGTGAATCAGGATCTCCTCCCAAGATTCCTGGTATGGAAAAACTATTATTTTGTACTGAAATGTAATTTCAAGAATGGCTCCATCCCATTATTATTTGATTATGATGCAATTTTCTTTTTTAATGAAAAATTGCAGGGGGAGCGACGCTGGTCTTTGATACCGAGCTTATTGCTGTCAACGGAAGAACTTCAACAAGCGATGAGGATACAGGAGATGAAGAGCTATAAGTTATGTTTGAATTATTCCAAGCTCTGTTTCTTTGAATGAGTAAACCATGTGGTTGAATTTTTATTTTTTTCTTAATAATGCTTTTTAGCTGAATCAGTTGTTTGAATATATATATATATTTGATTTAATCGATTAAATCAAATCATCAATTAAAAAAAAAAAAAACATTTACATCCATACCAGAATTTTTATGCAATCACAAATGCAACAACCAACATAAACTTATGAATATGAAAAATGTATATCAATCTTAAAAATATAAATTAACGTAATGTTAAAATTAAATTGAAAATGTAAGTATTATAAATATTAATAATGTTTTAAGTGTTGAATGTTTTAATACAAGAAAGGGTATATGGTTGAATGCCCCGCATGAAAAGTGAGTTGGGTTTCATCATAAAATTTGATATGGAAAACAAATGTAAGACGACCACAAAAATCAAAATTTTGAGTTTTGTATGTAAATTAACAAATCGTGGTTGAATGCCCCACATCATAAAATTTGATATTTGGGTGAACTTTTTGATCATTTGGCCAGTATTTGGAAAACAAATGTTCAAAATTTTGAGTTTTGTATGTAAATTAACAAATCCACCATCTCCAGACAAGTAGATCCACAACGAATTGTTATATTATTGGTAGAAGTAATGAAGGTAGTCTTTCTCATCTCATCTGGGCTGATCTAAAATCAAGCAGGGGTAGATCCACAAAGTCAAGAGGGTCAATTGCTTACTCTTAATTTGATCATTTGCCACTTAAAACACCAATTTTATACTTCCTCAAATATCACTTTACCTATATATGCCATCCCACATTAGATGCAGGGAGACAGTTTAGCCAAATTAAAATTCCATTCAAATATCATTTGCCTTTCATTACTTCAACCCCGCTCCCTCGCAAGTGACGAATCTCTTCACTTTGGATAAATTTCAACCTTAATTTAATTTTCTTCAATGACAAATTCTCAATCTAAATTAAAAAGCTCATCTCAAGCCTAACACCTCACCCGACCATCAATTTAAACTACCAAAAAAGAAAAGTATATTTACATACCAAGCCGCAATTACAATTCTTATGCATTTACACATCTAAAACAATTTTGTATTTACATTTACATCACCCAAACATAAAAAAACCTATATGTTATAATTCGAATTTCATTGCCTAAAAGTAATAATTATATTTCCGCTAAAAAACAAGCCTTCAACAATTTAGATCATTGAATCAGAATCACGACCCATAAAAATATAAGAAAAAACAATTTAACACATCTCTCAAATTCACATTACTAAGGAAAGAGAGATCTTCCACTCGAAAAATAAAATGTTTTTTAACCCACCCAGTAACAATAATCCACCAGAGAATATGAAAACCATTACTGCATCCAGAGCCTCCAACATAACACATTAATATCCTCAACAAACTGTGCATAACACCATATAATAAGGCCATATGCATGTCATACTTTTTCAACAAAGTGAACGCCTCATATACTACTACTCTTTGGCAGCCGTCTAAAATTCAGTGATCGTAAGTTCAGGAGAGACTAATAAAAAAGTATGAAGGAGATGGAACCAAACAAAGATATAATAATAATAATAAGATTTAAGCAGCGCTGTCAACGCTCATGGGTTCAGTCTCCTGCAACTTCTGCCCTTCAGATTTCTGAAATGAAAAAGATTAATGTTAATTTAACCTCCTCATATGTGAAATTTTATAGAAGATATGGTAATAGAGAGATCAAACTTACATTGGGCTCCGCAGGCTCCAACCTCTTCAGCTTAGCGAACATGTTACCATAAAACTTGGCATCCTTCTTGTTATACTCCTTCATTTTCTCTTTCAAGTTCCTGTATTCCAGCTTCACATCCCTGCCCACAAATTTAATAAGACTTCTATTGCTGACTAATCAAATTCCATATAATCCAAACCAAATTGCATTAAATCAAAATTGCATGATGATCACTGCATTCAATATGAATACGTTATTCTTTGTGGACTTTGATGTAATAGCTCACTGTAATTAATATGAGAGATCATATAGGGCATGAATTCAAATCATTGATTGTGAATTACATAAGCGCCCCTCTTTATCCCACTCTTCTCTTAGCCGTCAACAATCAAAGCACCCCGACTAAATCTCTTCCATCAATAACATTGAGTATTAAAAATGAAATTGATAATAACCAACGTTTCTTCTTTTTTTTTAGTAACATTAGTCCTTAAAATCACTTTTTCACTAGATAATCATTATCTATTCCCCTCGTTTCCAAACATAATCATCCAATTCTTATGTATTACATACCAAACACCTAAATTTTGATTCACATTTATACCCACTCAAATCTTTCATACCAAGTGAACAATACCATCTTAACTTTAAAAAAAAAAAAATTAGCGAAGCACACCATTATATATATATATATTTAAAAATAGAAGCATAGTTAAATATATGAAAATAGATAAGAATTGAGTACTATGCATGAAATCTTCAATTTTTATTAATTTTTTTTTTTAAAAGACACAATATTATATGTTCCTGTCAAACACGAAAAGTTCATGGATAGAAAACAGATCAGCTGGCATATACCTGTTATCAGGATCAATCTCAAGCGCTTTTTTGATGTCCAACTCTGCTAAATCCAGATCTGCTGTTTGAATGTATGCTTGTGCTCTTCTATAAAGGGCCTTTACATTTCTATTTTCAGCTTCAAGCACCTTCAAAAGTACCCCCATTCCCCATCATTTCCTCATCCACAAAAGCAGCAGGCAGGAAAAAAAAAATGCAAAATTGCTTCAGAAAAATACCTTGGTACAGAGCTTTTCTGCCTCTTTGTAGTCTTTCAGCTTCAGCTTGCAGGCTGCATTGTTAAGATTGCAGGTAACTTTCAATGCCTTGGACTGCTTCTTCTCCTCTTCGCTGAATGAGCTATCGTACTCTATCAGCTTAGCACCCTAATGTTGGTGAAAACAGGTATCAATAAATGATTTTTTGTTTTTTTTTAAATGAGGGGCATATGTTTTTTTTTTAAAATGAGGGTTTACCTTCTCATATCTCTTTGAGGCTTTAGCATATTTTCCCAATTTGAACAATGAATTCCCTTCTTCCTTCTTCTTGGCAGCAGCTTCAATCTTTTCCGAATTATTCATGTCCCATGACTCTTTGTCCTGAAAATGAGCAAAAGCTTGATCATCATACCATTTTGAATTCATACACTGCATGCAAACTATAACCAGTGAAGCTAGAAGATTTATTCTGTAGGAGTTATAGAAAAAAAAAAAAAAAAAAACCTTCACAAAGGCTCCACTTCATAAACAACAGTAGAGTTCGGAGGAACTACAGCAAGATCCTGCTTTGATTCAGTGGAGCCAAAGGCATGCTCAGGTGGAATTGTCACCAGAGCAAATTCTCCCTTCTTCATGGTTAGGACAGCACTGTCTAATCCCTCAATTACTTGTTCTGAACACATCAACCAAAAGCAAACTCAAATGAGCACGAATCAAATTACTGTAAAAAGGAAGAAGATTGAGAAAGTTTTCAATTTTACCTTCATCAATCCTGAACTCAAAAGGCTCCTCATCATGACCAATCTTTGAAAACACAGTTCCATCTTGCAGCTTTCCAGTCAGTTTCACTTCAATCAAAATTTTCAACAAAGTTAGAATATCAACTTCCAACAATTAAACAAATAAAACTAAGAATCTCATTAAATGCCCAAAAAATAGTACCTTTAACAATAGCCCCATCATTAGGCTTTTCGTATCCTTCTCCCTCTTTAAGAATTTTCTTCAGGACCTTTTTATCATCTCCAATCTCAGTAACAGTCTTCCAAGAAATAAGTTCAAGGTCAATAAACAGAGTTGCATTTGGAGCAACAGCACCTTCATCACCAGAAGATGGTCTACCCTTTTCACCAAACCCATCTGTCCATAAGAATTATGTCAATGTAAACTCCAAAAATTGTCAACTTCTGAAAACATCACTTATGTAAAGTCTCACATTGTGGCTTCACAGTCAAGAGCACCTTTTCACCCTTCTTCATGGTCTTGACAGCTTTCGCCAAAGCAGGGCAGAAGAATCCTGACTCCAAAAGTAGATTTTTGTTGAAAGAATTAAACTTAAACATCATCGACAATATTACATAACAAAAACAGCATAAATACAATTACCAACCATCTTTAACAGTAAACTCAGCTTCCTCAGCTTTGGAAATCACGGTACCATCCTCAAGCCGAGCTTCATATTTCACTACACAGATGAAATTACTTTCAGCATTCACATTTAGCAAGCAGAGTCCAAATAATAATAATAAATTTTTAAAAAAATAATACAAACGAGTAACACCACATACCTAGGACTTCATCAAGATCTTTAGGATTCTCCCATTTCTCTCCTTCCTTCAATATCTTTTTGAAAATACCTCCATCTTTGCATATATCCTTGACACTAGACCAAGAGAGCAACTCTACATCAAACTGCAGTGTAGCATTTGGAGGAATTGTTGGAGGGGAGCCAGCCTCCCCATAGGCAAGTTCTGGGGGGATAGTGAAAATGGCATTTTCTCCCTTCTTCATGGTCTTGATGCCCTGGTCCCATCCCTTGATAACTTGACCTGAAAATATTCATATACAAAATTTCTATAAACCAGCACTGTAGGAGCAAGGAAAGAACATTATTTCTCAGCAATACAAGTTGAACAACTACATTCAGCCATCTGAATCATCAACGCAAAAGGATAATATCACAATATTTGAATTGCAGGACAAACAAATTCAATAGAAGGATGACATGATATTGCTAATCCAAGGAAATCAGGGAGAAATAGCTTATCAAACTGAGCCTATTATAGTAAGTGTATTTCGATGTTAAAATGAATGACTAATTACCAGAATGGCAGCAAAATCTAAAATTTGCCTTGTCATTTAATTCACAACAAGCCATTTCTAATCTACCATTTCACAACTCCTTCAAAATAAATCCGCATAGGAAGCATTTACTTCTGACATGTAAAGAATTCAGACTACATGCAAAGTAATGAAACAGTAAATACTTATTTCTAACATCTCTCTCATCTTAAAGGCTGGGTGTGTGAATCAAACCATAATTTGCCAATGCATAATAAAGAAACTAGGTTAAACGACTTGTTTCTATGCTTTCAATAATCTGAGTGAATCAGGCGACTAACTGAATCGAATATATTCAAGCCACAAGCAATATGAGCTTGCTCTATTATTTCCTTCCTCTTTGAAGTTAGGGTTTTCTAACTTCAAAAAGAAAGCAGTGCAGGGGGGCCAGAATTATTATAGTACCCAAGTTGTTCCAGTCTACAGCCTCAATAGTCATTAGACATGCAGGTGTTGTCCATGAACATATTCAATCCAATCCCTTTTACATTATGCAGAACGAAAAGAGCTTACAACCAATAAAATAGATGCATTATTTATAGGCTACTTAAGGAAACTAAAGCATATAGTGGCTGAAAAAGGATGAAATATTTATGGCTTTTGCAAGATTAGAGATTTTCATTATGGTAGTCACTAATCGTTTCCTTCCTCCCATTTGAATTTATTATTCTTTAAAAACAATAGCCAATAGGTTAACACCGATGAAGGGCTAATAATATCACGATATCTGCTTGATTAGACAACCCAATCCGATAAAATAAAAGAACATAAACCACAGCTATGTCGTCTCCGAAGCAATCCTCAAAAAGGCAAAAATGCCCTTTTTAGCATTTTAGCATGATAACGTCGTGAAGCAAAGCAAAAGTAGGCTGTAACATACGTTTCAGAAACTTATCTTAAAACTCAAGCGAAAGGTTATAAACACCAACCTTGGCCGAGCTTAAACTTAAAGGGCGTCCCCCGATCGCGGCTGGAATCGAACTTGGTTCCATCAAGCAGCGTTCCAGTGTAATGCACTGCACAATAATAAAAACAACAAAATGGAAATTTATCAATCAACAGCACAATCACCAGAGAAGCGCAAAATAAAATAAAAATCACGGAAAAAACGTATAATCGATAAAAATAACAACTAAAATGAAAGATTCAAATAGGTATGTCCAGAAGGAGGATATCATACCCTCGACCTCGTCCCCGACCTCGGGGGTTTCCCACCCATCTCCCCCCTTAACCAACTTCTTCTTAAGGCCCTCCTTCCCGATCTCCTTCTCCTCACCCACCTTGAAGGTGGGATTGTCATCGGGAAGATCCATCATATCCTCGTTCATCGCATCGCCTCCTGTTCCGAAATCAAAGTCGTCATCCATCGCCTTCTTCTTTCCTCAAACACAAATCGCAGAACAGATCACAGATCTCACGAGCTCGCTGAAGGCCGAGTGAGAGGAGGAGGGGAGAGGGAGAAAAAGGTTTTAAGGAGGAGGAAGAGAGAACGAGATTCTAGAGACTTCTAAGAAATGGAATTACTGGAGAAAGGTAGAGATGCTTCCAGAGGTTGTGACCCCACGTTAATTTCGTTTTTGGATGGGCTAAAATGATAGTGGCCCGGCCCGGTGGGTAGCAGTTGATTGAAATTTTGGGCACTTGCCCGTAGAACGAGCCTAATCTTTAAACATTAGTAGTTACTTGTTGGATCGTTTAGTTCAAAAGTCAAGCTAAAATGAAAGATGGTTAGATGTTATTATCTCACATTCATAAACTTAAAAATTGAAATATAATATATTATTTTGAAGATAAATGTGCTCTTTAATAGTTATATGACCAAATTCAAATTGAATATAATCATTATAAATAGACATCAATGAATGACATGTATATATAGAAGATGACAGGAGATGACCTGAGTTAATAATTCTCTTGCAGACACAAGACTATATAGTTAATTACATCTCAAAGGACTGGAATCAATTAATAAAACTCTCGATTAAGATTAGAGTTTCATCTTCAAGAATTTAAAGTTTAGTTCTCGCGATTTTCCATAAGAAAATCAAGTGGGAATGACTTAATTAGAAACATTTATTTTAGAGACCAAATGAGCGAAATGTAGGGGATGTCACAGACTCTGAGGAGGACTTTAATGACTTCTCAAACAATCCTATTGTTTGGTTTTATATTTTGGAAGTAATATTATTTGATGTTTACCCATATCATTTTATTTAAGATTTAGGGCTTACACTTGCACAAATATACAATCATGCAAATAGCCTAGGAAGATATGTGGATTTATATTGTACCGAACGAACAACCTCAAAATCCTAAAAAGAGTTGGGGCTTATCTCACACGACAAATGATTGTACAAATGCCTAGAAGATAGCGCGGGGATTTACGTCGTGCTAAATGAACGACCTCGAAGTCCTAAGGGTTTATGTTATTTAAATCTAGTGAAAGTTAAGTTGAGAATCATCCTTTGTTTCATGCTTTGCCTTGATTGTCGCCTAAATTTGCCCACCGCTTGATTGCATCATCTCTTCATTATGCGAAAGGCGGGGAGAAAAAAATCATGCTTCGGGCGGCCTATCCTAGGTTCTTTTTAGTGTTTTGATTTTAGAAGGCGTACATTTAGGTTGATAATCATTTATGTCTTTATTATTATTATTTAACCAATGTGTTATTATGTTGGTCATGTGTTATGAGATTTCTGCCTAAACATATGTTCTACGTCCTCTTGTCTTAAGACATTTTATAAGAAAATAATTAAAATTTTCACCCCAAGCATGTGCCTTATGTTTACTACCTTATGAGTATTTTCCACGCATAAGAAATGTAGTACATAATGGAAAGATAACATGCATAAATAGAATATAAATAATAAGGTGCGGAAAAAGGAAAGTACAATGAAAGAGAAAGTGGTAGTACGTGATCCCGAATCTTTATATGTGAGGATTTATGAAGTTGACACCGCTACAGTGCCAAAAACTTGATCCTTATATGAAAAGTAAGCTGTGTAAAATATATATAGTTATAGAGAATTAATAATGAGGTTCTGCGCAAGTATACATATCGTTATCAAGTAATAAGAATTAATAATGAGGTTCTGCGCAAGTATACATATCATTATCAAGTAATAATAAACTTTTTATTTAAGCCCCAAATATCAATCCCACGGGGAAAATGTAAGTTATCAATGATAAATTTTAACAGGAAATTTACATAAAATCAAACAAAATCACTGTCACTAATTTCGAATGTTGGGATATTAACCAAATTAAATTACTTAACTATTAGCAAAAACAGAAATGCAACTTTTAAATATTAAATACTAATCTAAAAACTATGTTTAGATAATGAAGATTTCTTATGTGAAAAAACATCCTTCCCACTACAATGAAATTCTGGTGAAATGAGATGAGATAAATATTTTTAATATGTATTGTGCCAAATAGAAACAATTTTAATTCTCTACTCTGATACAATGCATGGAAAATCATTGGCTAATCTTAGGTTTAGTCCCTAAATCTGTGGTTCGGCTAGGAGTATATCGACTCCCACTTCCCTTCACCTGAAGGCTAACTCACGCTTTAGTTTTTAAACACTAAGATCAAATTTAGGATTTTAGTCTGTCACTCTAAAGATTCTCCAGTTTTACACCCAAAAAAGAATATTTCCCTATTTATTTGCACTTAATTTCATGAACAAATTTCTCTTTCATGAAATCAAATGTGATCCTCACTCTATTGTAGAACTCATATTGTATTTCCCGGATCATATGTTTCACAACATATTTTAACAAATCAATTGGTCAGACTGAAAAGTAAATTAAGTTCGGAGTTGAAAAATCATCACAATTTATTTTATATTTTAATTATGACACATTCATTTTATCTTCTCATTTTACTATATCTCAGAGTAGGGGGAAAGATAGGGGAAACTACTCAGACTTCATGAGAAAGATACGACAAAACACAAATTTTAAAGTTCAAATAAAGTTCATACAACACTAAATAAACAAACAAACTTATATGGAACTCTTTCTCAAAGCAAATCATTTGTAGTCATTCCTTAGAAATGCGGGAAGAAAAATTCTCACTTTTCTCCTTCTCCAACACTCTTACAGAAAGCTTCACACCAAATCTCACCATAAAAAAACTCTAAACTATGAAAGCAAAATCACTAATTGACTCCAATATGGTAGTGGAATTGAATGATATGGAGCGAAAAATGAAAGTAGAGGATTGCAAAATGTAGAGGAGCCCAAAAAGTGTAGAGGAGCCCATTTTCTGATGAAATTCGGCTCTAAATAGAGCCCAAGGTCGGTTATCCAAGAGGTGCCTCCAAAAACTCTTCAAAAAGTCGCCCAAATACATCGAACCTTCTAGAAACGGAGTTAGCACCATCTTTGGCGCCGTCAGCGCTGACTAAAAATCTCCAATGTTAAATTGTTCTGCACCGTCTGCGCTGACCTCGACACTGCCGACGCTGAGCATTTCTTCAAAAACATCATTTTGACTCCAAATTTCATCCTTTTTGCTTCCTTTTTTTTGCTTTAAGCCCTAAAAGACAAATAACAGCTTTAAGCCCTAAAAGTCAAATAACATGCAAGAAAATATCAAAATACCTTCCATTAAAGTACAATATCACCAAAAATAATTATAAAATATGGTCTAAAAACACATATTTTCAGCGTATCAAAATCCCCCAAACTTACATGTTACTTGTCCTCAAGCAACTTCTCCACTACATAAAAAATATGAATTATGGTAAAGAATTTAACTTTTAGACTTCCATGTTTTAGTTTTCTAAATATAATTGTTTTAACTTAAGAAAAATTCAAAACAACTCCAGCTAATACTAAAGGTGTAAGGATACTCAACAATTAAGTCTAAGGTTTTTGATCCTCTATTTCTTTCAAGAAAAATTGCAATTTATTATATTAAAGTTACTTAGGAAATTCATATGAAAAAGAACTTTATAAAACTTTATTAATAATTAAGTGAACATTAAAAAAAAGATTAGAAAATGTGTTTTTTCCTTAAGTTGATTCAAGTGAAGCCGATTTTTAATTAGACATCTCCTCAAACTTCTCTTTAGATTTTTCTTTTTCTTTTTCGTTTTCTTTTCTTTTTCTCTTTTTTTTTCCTTTTCTTTTTCTCTTTTTTTTTTCTTTTCTTTTCTTTTTATGAGGATTACTATATCTGGATAATCTTTAATGATTTTGAACTTCACTACTCTTCTTAAAGTTAAAAACTTTTTATATTTCTTCACTTAACAAATTTATATTAACTTAAAGATTTCATAAAGTTTAATTCTTTTCTTTTTACATGAACCTCTTTAAGATTTTTAATACTTCAAAAATACAAATTTCTTTACTTAAAATAGAAAAAACATAGTTTTATTCTCTTTTACCAAATATC